TGAGAAATGATCGCAAAACTCAAGAAATCAATTTAATGTCATATTATGATGGTTAATCAACGTATAAATATTAATTTGATGACGACATCGGTCATGAGAATTTTTTCCTGGCACAGGCAACAGCAGTCGCCCGGATCCCTATTTTTTAGCACCACACCCTCATCTCAACATCCTACTCTCATAGATGAATCAACATTATTATTGGCACCAAGTGTAGATCAATAAACATCGATGTTGGTTATTGTACACAAAGGAAAATCTTGCATAAACAGGTAGACACTAAAGTATGTTAGATTGATATTTTCAAAATTGACGTTTGCTAGTGAATTTCAGTCTTCACGAACTAAACTAAAATTTAAGAATCCAATGTAATCAATCAATACTGAATCTGCAAAGTCCTTTATGTTGGCAAACTGTGATCTTATTGTGCGAGTACTTGCCATAAGAGTATCACGAAAAGATCTACAAGATACTACTGTGACATCAATGATTAAATGGGAAATTTTCAAAGATTTTTTCGTTTTCGCTTCTGTCAACTTTGGCGAGATGTTATTTGTCACGATCTAACGATCTAGAAGGATACATAAGTTATAGGCACCTCGATTTACTTTCTCGGAGCAAACGCGGCCCCATGCGCGTGTGGGTGTTGCTCGTATAGGCGATGAAATATGCTTATATGGACTTGTGTCCAATATGATAATTCATGCATTGGCGGGTCAATATGCAAAATGTGAGTTTGGTTTCATTCATGTCTTAATCTCTTTATTTGCACATCCAGGGGCATATCCATCATTTTGTGGGTTTGTGTGTGAGCAGTGATATGTAGGGTAAGAAGACGTACGTCAACATTTAAGCGTCATCCACTTCCCCTTCTAACCAATTGTCGAGACTCCGCAGTAAAAAGTAGCACCATTGTAATATGAGAAATGGTCGCTTATATCGTCTTTAAAAACAATCATATACAATCAACTACCATAGTAATGGTGGCCGAATGGCTACGGATATGTTTATTATTATTTTAATTCATTTCATCCAAATTCATTTCATTTTAAATTTATTTTTCGATTCCAAATGTCATTTTCAATTTCAAAATTCATTTTCATTCCAAACTCATTTTCACATTTACCAAAATTCATTTTCATTCCAAATTCATTCCATTTCAAATTCATTTTCATTTCAAATTCAAATTTTCATTCCAGAATCATTTGCGAAGGCCGCAATCGCGAGTGGCCGAGATGGTATACGGATATTGTGGGGCGGAGGTGACGTCCACTTCCTCTTTAGTGGGACTCAACAACCTTCTATACAAGAGAAGCAAACGCGGAGTGTTGGCAGTTAGGTTATGGTTACCTACAGACATACCCGCGATACACTACAACCGTTACACTGCACTGTATCCGATAGTCTGTTGGCTATTAGGGGAAGCAGGTGGCTATTGAAGTTTTGATAGTATACGTATCTTGTATCAACGGTGACGCCGTCACTCAACCGGCGCGGTGGTATTAGTCCAACCCACCCTAATAAGTTGTGAGTTGGGCTATAGTAAGTATATTATATATGTTAAAGTAGTTGAGTTAACCATCAATAAGTATGCATAAGCAGAGATGCCGCGACGACCTCTCTCAGTAACTGTTTTAGGCGATGTATATATTGAAGAATAAACACATTTTAACACACTAAAAGAAATTCCGAGTGACGAGATTTCAAAGTAGATATCCGTATATGTTTAATATGAATGAGTCGAAAATCTGTTGATTTTATCAATGGTATATAATACATTATCCAAAAACTTACTTATCTATTCCCGATTATATAACCAAGACAAAACACCTTAACAAATGAGAGCGTTTGTATCTGGTTCACATCGCGTTATGATCGCCGATCTAAGGGTAAGTGACGTCACTCCGTTCACGCAGAGCGCATATATCACGTTAGCCCTATCTCGCGCCATCCGCAATATTCTAGTCGGCGCTATACTGACACTAAAATAAAAACAATTTTCGTGAGGTAACAATTAAGATACTTTAGTTGAAATCGAAAAAGATGACTATTTGTGGAAATGAAAACTAGAATTTGAACGAGAAACACTCATTATGCTATATATGAAAATGAATGTGTATAATTGCACACTGAATGAAAATCTATGAAACATGAACAAGAGAGTGCCCGCATTGACAATGTATTCGGAAACAATGTGAAAAAGGAATAATCGGAAATGAAATGAAATCACCTAAATCACACAATATATAAGAGAATATACTGTACCACCATCCCTCGGTCCAACCCAAACTGAACTACATGGATAGTACGAACAATAGCTTCACACCCTCCATTTCAACTTGTCTGCCTTCAGAATCGCTGCCTACCTTTAAACTGTCTACGTCACGAATTTCGAGCACCAGGCGAAAGTAGTGATATTTTTGTGTTAGTTTTTGTAGGAAAATAAAATGTTAGAAGATAATACAATATGCTTTCTATTTACTTTTCATGCTCATAATACCTTCTTCATAAGGTCCCTTAATTTGCCGGGCATTCGATGTAACCAAACGTTGTGTTCAATCAACAACCGCCACTGAATCGAAACATTGTATTGGTGGCGGCCCACTGCGACGCAAGCTAGCCCGATATAGCGAAATTTGCGGTAATACGAGGCATTGGCAAAAGTTATTGTGCGCAGCCATGAAAATTCCTTGTAAACTTAAGCGGGAGTTTCTCAAAGTATAATCTTTCTTTCGGCTTTTTCTCTTTCGCTTTTTCTTTCCGAGCACTGGTCTCCCACGATTGTTTAGCGTTTAGTTTATCTAGTCTTCTGATCGATCCTTAATGGGGATGTCACAAAACATTTTTGTTGGCAGAAAATAAAAAACACAAAATTAAATTTCGCAGTTTAATAATATCTTTTTCAAACACATAATACACAGGAAACATATATTATTTATTTTTCCTATATTGTAGTATTCCTATAGTAGCCAAGCACAAATCAAAACAGAAACTGGTTTGGGCACCAATTGTGGGCAACTCATATCACAAATGCACGATGAATACGACCACAGCAGACCAGTGCAGCAAACGCGAGTGAGCGCCGAGTAATTGTGTAAATATGTTAGGTAACACCTAAATTCAATCATCGTCAAATTTTTGCAAATTTAACGCAACGTAAAAACATTTAATATCAGGTGAGAGCTTAGGATATATTTATAAACGTTAGTATTCTAACTTTGATGTAAAAAAAATTAGCAAAAATAGAGGTTTCAATCTATAAATTTCAGGAATATCGTGAACGTAGACACTTTGAAAGCCGATTTATGCTGGTGTGCGCGCGTGCGTGTGTGTAGACGTACGTGTTGTGTACGTACGTGTGGCGTGGTGTGTGCTGTGTGTTGTGTGTGTGTGTGGTGTGTGTGTGCTGTGCGGTGCGCTGCGTGCGGTGCGTGCGGTGCGTGCATGCGCCGTGTGTGTGCGGCGCGAGTGGCGTGTATGTGTGGCTCGTATGAGGGGAAAGCGCGGCAGAGAACAGCGCCTCTATAAACGCAGCAGCGGCTTTTACTGTAGCTTCCACGCTCATCCAAAAGACTATAAAGACCTCTTCGGTCGCCGTCGGTAGCGCTGCGTCCACTCTCGGTAAACGTGCATTTTATGCGGACCTGTGCCGCGCGCTCACGCCTCACGATATAGCCGGTCAGTTGAATTAGGTGGACGCTGGACGAAGTTATCATCAGCGCTGCGCTGCGGCGCGGACGAATTGACGCGGCACGGTGATGCATCAGCAACTGCTGCTGCGGGCGGCGGTTGACGATGACGCTGCCGCCACGTAAGCTGCGACTCTTATCACTTTGTCTTCGGATTACAAACACTGCGGTGATGCGGTGATGCGGTGATGCGGTGCGACATGAAGGGGACTTTAGCGGTTCGCTCGCGCGTCGGTGATTTTATGTGGCTTTTTATGTGCGTGCGTGCGTGCTTCTTTTTATGTGCGTGCGTGCGTGCTTCTTTTTATGTGCGTGCGTGCGTGCTTCTTTGCGTGGCTTCCTGCGCGCCTTGTCAGCTTTGTACCACACGTCGCAGCGATTCCTTCTCTATTCTCGTCCGACGAGTCCTGATTTAGCCTCGCTGATGGCAAATTATGCTCCACTCTTAATACTGTTAATAGTACTGTTAAGCCAGTAGAAAGGACACCTGTATAATTGATTGGGCTGTAAAAGGACACTTGGTGCAGGGGTAAGGGGGAAGGTATCAGGGGTAAGTTATGCCGCGAACCCTCCTCTATAGAACAGCCAGCTGTCTATAAGAGACACTTGGTGTCTCTCTTGAGTGACACTTATATGCAGATCTATGCGACAGTGAATCGTAACTCGTGAGTGTTCAGAGTTGGGTGTAGCATCGTCGCGATATGATCGATTCGAATTCGAGAGACCGCAGTGAGCGATTTTACTCACACGCGGAATTTCAGTAATCAGAGAGAAGATCAGAAACGATCAGATCTGAAGGAAACGATCAGGAAGATCAGAAATCATCGACCGCCGCGTGGTAATGTAATATATATAAATATAATGGTAATGTAGTATGTGAACCCGGTGGAACGTGCAACGCGTGGAACGTAATGAAGAGTGAACACAGTGCGAACAGCAGCGACTCCCCTGGGTGCTCCCTCTATGTTCTTGTATTTTTGTCATCGAGTGTTGTTCTTGGTATCTGAGATTTAAGTTTTTTTGCGCAGTTATGGTGGCAATTTACAACTTAATAGGGCGGTAACAAGAAAACGATTCACGGTAAGACGATTCTGGACTAGACCACGTATTATTTAGACTACCTGCGTGAGGCAGCGCCTTATTTTTACCTATTTACCTTTGTCTCTCTGTCATCTCATCGCAGTACCTCTGCCATTGTTCCAGATGCTGAACTTTTACAACAGTGACAACAGCTATAAGTAGCTGTTGATCGAGGAACATCTAACCTTGTCTCTCTGTCGTCTCATCGCAGTACCTCTGCTCTTGTTTCAGATGCTGAACTTTTACAACAATGACAACAGCTATAAGCAGCTGTTGATCGAGGAACATCTGCGCGCGAAGGACGTCTGTCATCTACTCGCGATGAAGAACCACGTACCAGAGGAGAAAAGCTGGGCCATCGTCGAACACATAGAAGAACTGGGACTACGTACGTATGCCGCAGCCGCGAAAGTAACGCGAGTGTTAGAACAAGGATTTCACGTGTTTTCCCAACGGTTTTCATAGTTGATTGAAAAAATTTCATCGGATCTCTATAGTTCACAGGAAAATAAAATTTATCTGAGTTATTTATTTTCCTGTGAACTATAGAGATCCGATGAAATTTTTCAATCAACTATGAAAACCGTTGGGAAAACACGTGAAATTTATTATGGATCTAACTCAGATTAACTTTATTTTTCAGTTTTCATAGTTTCTCGACTGTTCTGTTCTGTTCTGTAACACAAAGTGCATGCAGTATAATAAAATAATATATATATTATTTATAATTATTATATATATATATATATATAATAAGCTGACATGTCTTAGAACACGAGCACGTACTTCAAAGTAGATTTATTTACATACATCAACTTCGTTAGCATGTGATTCTCGCTCTCGCGAGTTGCCACGAGCCCGTACTATTAGCCCGTATTACTCTACGCTATGGTACCTTTAGCTACATGTCTAGATAGAATACCAGTTTAAAACAATTCACGTCTCATAGCGCATTTGTTGTGAGTCCGCATTTTAGCGATTATTTCATTTTCGCGAATCTTAGGAATGCAGGTGGAAGTTTCGTATTAAGACATGGCGAAAATGTGAAATTTAAAGTAAAAGTGCCTTTGTATTAAAGGAGAAATATCTACTGCTGCACAATCTAGCTTATTGCGCCACGTATTGCTTAGACGAGATTTCAGTGTGGTTTTTTTTTTCAAAAGAAAATGACGGAAAACAAGCCTGTTCAATTAAAGGGTGGTATGGCTCAAGATGCGCACATCCTTTTATGTTTTTGTAATTGCTCCGTACGTGTAGTGGGGAGTTCTATGAGTCGCCGTCATTGCATTCATTGGGCGGCAAACTGACATAAAAACAACATCGGCAACTGCCACCCACCCACTCTCCAGCGTTAATCCTTATACCCGCAACGTACACGAGTGTTTCGCATGCGCTGCATCACGCGAAGCTGAAAGCTGAAATAGTCTATAGTATACGCGGGGGCATTTCGCATTGCTTGCGCGCTGCGCTGCTCCGAATCCTCGCAATGAGGCGCTTTGCACAACAATGCTGCTTGACTTGCATCGCGCGAAAACGCTGCAGTTTTGTGCGAAATCGTTCGACGTTGAAAAGGCAATTAGGTTGTGTCCTCGACAAAACGCTTATCGCTAAAAGCTGCAGTGACAGCGTCCATTCTTCTTCTTTTTTCTTCTTCTTTTTTTTCTGCTCTTTTATTCTGTTCTTGCTCTTCTTCGTCGTTCTCTTCTCATTTTTCTTCCTGATGGTCTTCTTATTTTTCTTCTTCCTATTCTGAACACCGCACCCCCCCCCCCCCCCACCCGGTACAAAATTAATCACGCAATCGTCGGCGTCATATCTTTCTAGCGCATTCGTCGAATAAGTGCCAATTGAAAGCAGTAGCAATTCCATGCTGCTTGCTGTTTTTATTGTCGGTGTGCGTTTTACATGGGCAATTTCACCGGTTCTCATGTTGCGTCATATTCTCACTGTTCGTTGTTACCTGCATGTTTCATGTCAGCGTTAATGTTAGATAGTGTCTATATTAACTTACTTAGATATACTAAGATTAGATATTATTATATATAGATATTCGATATTAGATAATATTAGAGATTATAGATTAGAGATTAGAGATTAGATTAGATATACTTAGATTAGATATTATTATATACTAGCAAAGTACCCGTCCTTCGGACGGTGGGAATTCATGAATGAGTGTATTAGTGTTGTAGCTCACCTAAGGATCAATTTGAATATATTTATTCACATATTGATAGAATATTTACAAGTTGAAAACTATGCAAAACGCTGTTAAAACCGTGTCATACTCTTCTCTATTATGCACTCTTGCTTTTATGTATATGTCTGTTACGCTCGACTAATTTCTCATGTTTCTCATATAACCAGCGCGTACTTTTGCGATATTGTCGGTTCACCATTTTACTTACTCATCAAATATACGTGCGCATGGTCAGGAAATGCAAAATGGGACAAAACTAACAATTTTGTTATGCCAGTTCTCATAAATCTGGTCGAATTTCCGCAAAATTCGAACTTGAACGAGTAGCGATTATCTTTTCGCTCGTTTATATAATATCCGGCTACTGTCAGTGTTCGTTCGTTCTGCTGTGAGTAAAAACAGGGTGCCACAATTGCTGGTCTATATGATCGGTTTATAGCTGTGCCGTATCGAGTATTTATCTTTGTGTTTGCCTTGATCCTATGATTGAATGTCATCTCATTTCTCGTAAATATGAATATAATGGTCGTTACATTTTCTTTCCTTCCGATTGACGTTGTTATCTCGTTAATGCTTCTAATACGGTTCCCAGAAATGATGACGCAGTTGCAGGTTTTGTATTTCATCGCTTCACATGGATAACGTGTCTACGTTTCGTCTGTCCTTGTTTTAGACCTTGTTATTACGTTTGTCCCTCTGTCTGTGCGCGACGTTGTCCTAATCTCAAATGTTGCCGTGTGTGCTTCGCTGCAGGCTTCTTATCTCGGGTACCTCGCGCACTTCACTCTGACCTGCTTGCCATTTTCTCGAAAAACTTCTAACTTTCTCGAAATTTCTAATCGCTGCAGCGGTTGAAGGTCAACAAGGCTCGGTGAAGGTCGCAATGCAGTGTAATGATTCAAGAAGGTTTTTCTCATTTCCGCGAAGGTAGCGCTCCTATTGAGCCCTAGTCATTGTCACGTCATTGGTCTTTATTGCGAATACCGCCGGGTTCCACAAGTTAAATAGTCCACAAATGTAATATGTTATCATTTAGGCGTAAGAGCGTTTTCAGCTTTTCGTCCCGGCCGCTGTTGAGCAGCGTCTGTGTGCCACTGGAGACTGCTGCACGCTGCCAGCTAGATTCAGTTAGAAATATCTGTAATGGCGAAACCATTTTCAACACTCAGACCACGTCTCCCGGGAGGGTCGCGCTTTCACGCACAATTTTCGTTGTTACGAGACTTGATTTTCTGAAAACAGTTTTGTTATCATGTGAAAATACAAAACGAATATGGTTGGCCGTAGGCCCTACTAGTATTAGACATAATATCTGGTTCAACCAAACTAATCTGTTTTGTTTTTCTTACTCAAATATAAAACAGTGAAGTTACCAACAAGTTTTTAAAGAGTAATATCACCTGGAGGATTTTACAAAACAAATGCAACTAAATGTGTTTACAACGTAAATTCATCTTAAACACTTTTACATGGTAAAATCAGCTAACGATTTTCACAAAGTAAAGTCTCCTGACGTTTTTTGTTCGAACTAATTAAAGACCTAATGATTCTTACAAAGTAAAGACACTGAAGATGTTCACAAAGTACTGACACACAGTAATATAGATTCGTCCTAGGATTTTTAACAGTGGGACTTTACAGTGTAAAGTCAGCTACAGATTCTTTCCACAGTAAAATATCTATAATATATATCTATAATATATATATGACATCTATAACGTCGAATTTCGAGCATAAGTGTGAGATTCTCTCGCAGATTCTCTCATACGCACACGCTCGTGAGAGGGTGCAATTAATCACTTGTGCATGCGCATGCTTATCTCATCCTGTTCCCCGCGCCTGACGGCGTCCACGAGGTTTCACCGGCGAAATGCAATCAGCTCACTTCTTCACTTCTCTCAATGACACATTCTGAATCTGATGCCCGAGCGTGCTTTGTCCGGCATGCTGTTTCTCTCTCTCGTGTACGTATGCGCGGGGAGGAGGGCTAAGAGCTCTCTGGTTTCTCTAACTCTCAACTCGCCGATCAGTGATCAAGTGGTAGCTCCTCCCCCGGGGATTGTCGGAAGATGATTTGTTGCTGAATTGTTGGAGGTGCGTTTTCAGCGAGGAGATGTTAACGTTGTTGTTGTGTTTATTTGTTGGCAGTGTAGTACATGTAGTACATGAATTACTGTACGTGCAGGGCAGCAATTACAGACCTACCAAGTCTCGCGCATTTCGCGGGACACTCACGCATCTGCACCCATTCTCCCCCGCACGCCCGCATGCCCTATGCATTTTCACGAATTCACGCAAAAGAAAAAAAACTGTATGTAACACTTCAGAATTAAAGTTTTTATGCCTTAAAATTTAATTTTGTCTTATTTTTTTCGAATGCTAACAGAATATATGTACTGCAAATACATATTTTAAAGCCAGATATTCAGAAACTGGTTGTGTTTGAAAATATTCTGAACCTCCAGCATTATATTCCCAAAATGACCCATTCTCCAGCAAAATGTCACTGAACCACCAGCAAGCTGGTTGAACACCCTTGGCAGGTTTGCAATTATCCTATGTCAGATAGAAGCTTTTAGCATTACGTGAATTGAATAAGAGGAGCCTGGCATACCATATGCTCTCAATGTGACGACAGATTATTAATTGACCAATTTGTTGCATGGAGAAGATGGCGAAGATTTCACTCCGTTCCGAAATGAGGCTAAACGCGTGCACTAATAAAGTGGCAGGTGTTCCAGATGAAAGGCTTGCAATTGCGGGCAATTTAATCGAGTTCAAATGATTCGCAACTAGATTTCTCCCTTGCCTTCCCCCTGTGAGCCGGAGCTGGAGTGAAGACTCGGGTCTAGCGTTTTGACCTGCGGGTTCTTTCGCCACTCTTGTGCTTCCTTTGTAAACTATATATTAATTATGACTTGTACATTTCCTATTGGCCGCTGTAAACTGTATATACACGACTTATGCACAAATAAACATCTTGAATCTTGAATCTGCCGACGGTCTAGAATACGTGTCGTATGGACGTGTCCAAGTAAGGACAAGCCGATGCCAGTTGTCTCTCACTTGGTGGTGATGCAGGTATATTCGCAAGAAGCCCTTTGGGATGCACACGACGGTAAAACTAATTCGTCGAGACATATTTTCGGACCGATCAGGCGGCTTTATTGAGAGACGTGGTCCGTCTA